TCCATGAAAATTTGTGAAGAAATTACAATCAGACAGATTGTTTTTTCCTGATATAAGCCAGTGTAGGACTTAATTATTGTCTCAGAGAGCAGAGATGTAATACTGTGAAATGTGCACTGTATTTGAATTTCTACAGTTGCAGACCTGTCCTCAGATGAAATTATCTAATCCTCATCTGTTTATGCCAGCTGAGGATACTGAACATTTGTCCATCTGTCCAATGCTGTGTATATTCAGTCACCACCTTCTCACTCACATCTCCACTATTTTATTCTTATGTCACCACATACCATCACATTTATGTGTCATTACTCACAGAAAGTAAGGAAAGAGTTTAAACTCCGTGATCAGACGACTTCTAGTTGCTTAACACAGATTCTGTCCAGCCCTAGAAATGATGGCAGGACTTTTCTATCTTGTGCTTTATTCTAATCAGTGTTTTTTGTGGAGTCGGGGGAAGTCCTTTCACCAACTGAACAGTTTGCCTGCCTGATTTGAACAGGATTGGACTGTTGTGATAAATAAAAATAGCTCCATTTCAGATTATCAATTCCTTAATCAAACCATAACCAAATATTCGAGTACCCTGTTACAGATCCATATATACACCTTTGTAGTGTGACATTTTAGCTTTACAGAGCATGAAAGATGGCTTCAGTCATAATACATAAATTAACACACAGAACTACACAGTAATTTAGGCTGAAGGGGATCCAGGGAGGTCACTTAATCCCTGCTAGCAGGAAACAGACGTTTCTCCAGGCTTTTGGCGGGGTTTGAGTGACGATGCATAAGTAAGGAAGTCTTTTTCTCCAGTATTTATTAAGAAATACCTCAAGAATCTGCTGTAGAGATCAAAACGGCCCATCTTACTAACTCACTAATACAACAGCTTGCTGTTATTGCTCCGCTAAAGCCGACCAGGACAGATTTTCATTTAAACTCCTTTCTTTGTTGTCCTGGTTTGAGCAACACAGGATTAATTTATCTTTCAGTAATTTTACTTTGCAGTAAGGTCTCTTCTAATGCTTGGGAAAACTGCGCTTTTCTAGACTCTAGTGTCAGTGTTTCCCTCAGCAGAGGAAAAAATTGCAATCTTCAAAACTGTCATAGCAGTGTGTTTTCACAGTCCTGGTTTGAGCAACACAGGACTATTTTATCTTCTAATATTTGGGAAGACTGCACTTTTAGAAGGCTCTAGTGTCTGAATTTGTGAAAATATTTACTTCATAGCCAGCTATGGTGTGTGGTTTTCAAGGTCTCCGTGTTTTTGAAGTTGCCAGGTGCGGGGATGAGAAGGAGTGAGGCCTGAGCACTTGACCCAAGCCGGCCAACAGGATTATTTCATACCATGAGATAATATAAATTAGACAGCTTCCTGCAAAGTTCTCTCTCTCCCTTGATGGCTGCCATCCTGAGAATTTAGTGCCCCGGTGCCGCCGGGGCCTTCCCTTCCTCCTGAAGCCGTCACGCTCAGTGTCCGACATTTACTGTCCGCTGCTGGGAGTGCACAGCTTTCCGCTGTTAGAATTGGTTAAGTATAATCCTTGTGTATTTTATATTGGTATTGGGATCAATATTGGTTCTTTCGTGCTATTAATGTTAATTATGTAGTCTTATTCTGTTAAACTCCTTTATATTTCAACCCCTCGTTTTCCTTGTTTTTTTCCCCGCTTCCCCTTCCCCGGTGGGGAGGGCTTACTGACAGAATGACAATAAATCGTTGTGGGTTCCTCAGACCCTAGCATTTGTGCGGGACCGGCCATTTCCACCACTGCAGCGACAAGACAAGGGGGCGTGAGACCGTCAGGACCCGCGGCGCCCCCACCCCACCTCGCCGCGCCGCCGACACGATGGCGTCAGGC